TTTGTCATTCGTTCACTCATATTCAACTACTCATATTCTCCAGTTGTGATCTGATGTTTTGCCGCCAACAGCGTTGTTCACTTGAGTTTTTGAAATGAGATTTTGTTGCTGTTGTGGTTGTTGTTGCATTGTGTATGATGGGGCACCAGGTCGTATTAGCTATTCGTCTAAGTAAATGCTGTTATGTGAGTGTGTGGGGGGCTTTGATGTTTGTGTGGGCGGAAAAAACATGAAATTTGTAAAACATTCACAATTTGTGGCAACATACAATTTGTGAGAGAGAGAGAGAGCAAGAGAAAATGTGAATGATCCCAAACAACTACTTGTGAATGCCGCCAGAGCTTCATCATATTTCGAAAATTGTATTGTGAGATATTACTTCGCATTACTTGATGTGTCCGCACCTTAAAGATGCTGCCGCCGATGATGATGATGATGATCGAAACACAAACACACCTCTCTTGGTGCACATCGGACACCCCATCTCAGCCATGTTGTGTCAGTTCAGTTGATCGTGGCCGCCTGCACAATCGTTGTGTTTGTTAATGCCGGGTATCGTCGGCGGGTAATGAACGAAAAAAAAAACATAAATTTGATGAATTTGTCGAGAAATTGTATTTCATTCAAATCAGTTTTTTTGTTGCCTCTATTTTTTTAAAAATAGTATTTTCTTGCGCACCGTCTGTGTAAACAAAATAAAAAATAGAAATTTGTGTGTACGGTTTGTTTATTCGCTCATCGTTATAAAGTGAACGCGCACAGTGATTTTTTGTTTGTATTCCAAATAATTTTGCCGGTATGAAATTTAATTATCCCAATAATGCTAAAAAATTACGAAGAAAATACAAAATAAAAAATGTCGTGAAAAAAGTGACTATTAACCCTAGTACGAATCATCATTGGATACTAAAAATTTTATAAAAGAAGAGGACTAATGAAAGATGTGGCCTACCAGAGGGCTACTAAATAGGACTGCATTTTTAAAGAGTGAAGTGGTCTTCTATATAGTTGGAAAAGACTTGTTAATATTAGATGTAGACATCGGTTACCTATAAATAACAGAAACCATGTATACATAGAATATGACTTTTGTGGACTGAAGAGCTCTTTAATGGATAGACAATAAAATTTACTGACGATGGCCTTTATTCTATATAAAGGCCCAGTTCCATTCCCAGTTCATCTTAAGACGTATATATTATACCTCAATGTTTACGATTGGTCTCAGTTAGTCTCAGCTAGACTTCTGATCTGACCATGGTATTTTATCTCGTGTATTTGGAGTATTCATATTACCTCCTTTTTACTCTCTACCTTACAATTAATTCCTAATACCGTTAAGACGAAATGTTTCACTAATAATGTCACTAAAGGCTCCCTTCAGCTCGTCTATTTAAACTTACTTCCGTTTGCCTATAAAGTCTGTCTTCAGCGCTTATATATTATCTTCAGCTCCTCCATCTCGTCTAAAAAGACTACCTTCAGCTTGTCCAATAATACTCCCTTCAGCTCGTCAATAAAGACTTCCCTTCAGCTCGTCTATAAAGACTCCCTTCATTTAAACTTAAACTTACTTCCGTTTCCCTACAAAGACTTTATTTAGCCCTCTTATAAAGTCTGTCTTCAGCGCGTATATATATTATCTTCAGCTCCTCCATCTCGTCTATAAAGACTCGCTTCAGCTCGTCTATAGTGACTCCCTTTCAGCTCGTCTATAGTGACTCCCTTTCAGCTCGTCTATAGTGACTCCCTTTCAGCTCGTCTATAGTGACTCCCTTTCAGCTCGTCTATAGTGACTCCCTTTCAGCTCGTCTATAGAGACTCCCTTTCAGCTCGTCTATAAAGACTCCCTTCAGCTCGTCTATAAAGACTCCCTTCAGCTCGTCTATAAAGACTCCCTTCAGCTCGTCTAAAGATATTCCCTTCAGCTCTTCTATAAAGACTCCCTTCAGCTCGTCTAGAAAGACTCCCATTCAGCTCGTCTATAAAGACTCCCATTCAGCTCGTCTATAAAGACTCCCTAATTCAGCTCGTCTATAAAGACTCCCTGATTCAGCTCGTCTATAAAGACTCCCTGATTCAACTCGTCTATAAAGACTCCCTAATTCAGCTCGTCTATGAAGACTCCCTTCAGCTCGTCTATAAAGACTCCCTTCAGCTCGTCTATAAAGACTCCCTTCAGCTCGTCTATAAAGACTCCCTTCAGCTCGTCTATAAAGACTCCCTTCAGCTCGTCTATAAAGACTCCCTTCAGCTCGTCTATAAAGACTCCCTTCAGCTCGTCTATAAAGACTCCGTTCAGCTCGTCTATAAGACTCCGATCAGCTCGTCTATAAAGACTCCCTTTCAGCTCGTCTATAAAGACTCCCTTCAGCTCGTCTATAAAGACTCCCTTCAGCTCGTCTATAAAGACTCCCTTCAGCTCGTCTATAAAGACTCCCTTCAGCTCGTCTATAAAGACTCCCTTCAGCTCGTCTATAAAGACTCCCTTCAGCTCGTCTATAAAGACTCCCTTCAGCTCGTCTATAGAGACTCCCTTCAGCTCGTCTATAGAGACTCCCTTCAGCTCGTCTATAAAGACTCCCTTCAGCTCGTCTATAAAGACTCCCTTCAGCTCGTCTATAAAGACTCCCTTCAGCTCGTCTATAGAGAGTCCCTTCAGCTCGTCTATAGAGAGTCCCTTCAGCTCGTCTATAGAGACTCCCCTTTCAGCTCGTCTATAGAGACTCCCCTTTCAGCTCGTCTATAGATACTCCCTTTCAGCTCGTCTATAGAGACTCCCTTTCATCTCGTCTATAGAGACTCCCTTTCAGCTCGTCTATAGAGACCCCTTTCAGCTCGTCTATAGAGACTCCCTTTCAGCTCGTCTATAGAGACTCCCTTTCAGCTCGTCTATAGAGACTCCCTTTCAGCTCGTCTATAGAGACTCCCTTTCAGCTCGTCTATAGAGACTCCCTTTCAGCTCGTCTATAGAGACTCCCTTTCAGCTCGTCTATAGAGACTCCCTTTCAGCTCGTCTATAGAGACTCCCTTTCAGCTCGTCTATAGAGACTCCCTTTCAGCTCGTCTATAGAGACTCCCTTTCAGCTCGTCTATAGAGACTCCCTTTCAGCTCGTCTATAGAGACTCCCTTTCAGCTCGTCTATAGAGACTCCCTTTCAGCTCGTCTATAGAGACTCCCTTTCAGCTCGTCTATAGAGACTCCCTTTCAGCTCGTCTATAGAGACTCCCTTTCAGCTCGTCTATAGAGACTCCCTTTCAGCTCGTCTATAGAGATTCCCTTTCAGCTCGTCTATAGAGACTCCCTTTCAGCTCGTCTATAGAGACTCCCTTTCAGCTCGTCTATAGAGACTCCCTTTCAGCTCGTCTATAGAGACTACTTTCAGCTCGTCTATAGAGACTCCCTTCAGCTCGTCTAAAAATACTGAAAAAAACCTTCAAACCTTCGCCTTCAACTTCTCTATGTGGATCACTTCATCAAGACTCCCTGTAGCTTCTTTATACCAACAATTTTCTTCGACTTCTTTATAAAGACTCTGTACAGCTCATCTACGAAGACCCCGTTCAATACGTCTTAAAGGACTTTATCTCATCTATAAGGAGTCCCTCAGCTTCTCAATAGAAATTTCCCTGGTTTTTCATATCGTTTATAAAAACAGCCAATTATTTCTTTGTCTAATGTTTGTCTACGAACCACTGTGCCACATCAACATGTGGCCAAAATTGTATTAGGAACAAAAATTAAAAAAAAAACAATTGGTGTCCGTTATTGAAAATCTGGCTAATTTATTGCCAAACAGACTAGAAACTAAACTAAGTCAAAGCGAATGAACTAAAATCGATGACATCAACGAAAAATGTAATCTAAATCTAAAAACAGAATTTTTTGCGGGAAGCTACAATAAAAAGAAAATTTTATGTCCCATATTACTAATCCAAACAAATCGGAAAACCCCTCAAAAATTGACAGCATCTGTTCGTTGAGATCGGTGTGTAGCACGTGCATTGTCTAGCCGTCTATGAAACGATTCATCAGTTTGTGTTAAGGTCCACACGGGAATAGAAGGAATTTTCGCAGTGACTAACTAGGTGGTTGTTGTTTCGTATAATATAAGTCGATTTGTTGTTTTTGTATTTTCTCTGGCTGTTGCATCGTCAAAATCCAACAACAACATCAAATTGTAAGTATTTTTGTTTTGATTTTATTTTCTGTGTCTGGTTCACTTTCTTCAAGTGACTACAGGCCGCCATAAATGTAACACACTTGAAGACACCTGCAAGATATGTTGTTGTGCCCCCAACGTTGAACAGTGGGGGAATTCTCAAACAAGAAATATGTAATTAAAAGAGAGAGGGAGAGAGAAGTAAAAAATATAGAGAAAGTGGGATACTGCCTCTATATGCAATATTAAGGGAGTTTTCATGATTAGAGAACTAAAGGAAATTCTTTTGAACTGAATGGAGTTTTTACAGGCGAGCTGAAGTGAGTCTTTGTAGGTGAGTTGAAGTCTTTGAAGACTAGCTGAAGGGGGTCTTAACAGATTGGATGAAGGGAGTCTTTATAGGCGAGCTGAAAGGGGTTTTTATAAATGATCTGGAGATATCTGAAGAGAGTCGTTATGAACCAGGGGAGTTTTTGTACTCTAGCTAAAGGGTGTCTTTAGTGAACGGTATATTTATATGGAAACTGCATCTAAAGAATTGGGATGGGAACCTTTACATTTCTAAGTTGTTTTTTTAATATTTATTTCTTCCTGAATTATATCTTTGCAAATTCGCAACATTTTCCCCCACTGTAAGTGAATACCATCTTTAACACAAATAAATCAACGAGAAAAAAAAACTTAGGTATGGCTATATGAACGTCGGTGTAAACATCAATTAGCGCTTAACTTAAGTAATTAAACGATCAGACGCTGGCCAAAAAGGCAAAACTACTTTATTTTTTCTATTCCATAGAAATGTAAATAATTTTTATTTTTTTCTTTCTCTCTTTACAGAGGAGCAGCCGCTATCACAACTATCGTCACAATCAACGCTCTCAGTCGCTAAATCGCGGCCAAACTCTATCACAGGCGGACGTTAGCGGGATGTGGTGACATCGGGGTGCAACAGGTATGTGTCCACGGCACTTTGCCTTTGATTTCATGGTGGCATGGTGTTAATTCGTTTATTTTTTTGTTACAAACGTTTTAATTGCAAATTTGTTGTTTTCTTTTTTGCCAATATTTCCAGCAGCTCAATCTAGTGGCTGTGCCAGCTGTGCCATGGGCAACAAGTTGAGCTGTTCATGTGCGCCCCTTATGCGCAAAGGAGGCTATCGTTATGAAGATTCACCATGGCAAAGTACACGACGACGAGATGGTCATCTATTGAGGTAAGTTTTAGGTTTGAATCGGAAAGGGCTATGGGAAGAATAAAGCATAGATAAATAATTGCTTTGGTTTTGGGCGCCAACATTTTTATTTTACAACAAATTTCAAACTTTAAATGAACGGAAAGTTGAAATGTATTTATGGCGAGCGTGGAGATTCAAATATGTAAGCTGAGGAATAAGAGAAATCTACAAGCGGTTATGTTAGTTGAAAGCTTCACGACCTATAGATTACCTAACATTTTTGTGGAAAAGCTTCAGAAGGTCATATACGTATAGTAGAGCTTTAGAAGGTCCCCTTTTTATAAAAGAACTTTTGAATGTATATTTATAAAGGAGCTTTATAGAAGATCTTCATTCTGTATGGAAGATATTCTGCATGGAAGATATTCAAAAGGTATTCTTTGCGTAGAAAAGCTTCAGAAGGTATTCTGCAATCTAATGGAAGTTATTATATGGGCACAGTATCTTCGGAAGCTTGTCTATGGATATAAGACGACCTTCTGAAGCTCTTGTATGAATGGAAGATATTCCAAAAATTGTTCTATACACATATTGCAGCTCTTTAATAGATAATAGACCTCCTAAACCCCTTCTTGAGGTTGGCACACTTCTGAAGCTTTTATATATATTGAACACAATTTAAGCTCTTTACTGTTTTCTATGTATACAAGAGCTTAAGAATGTTCATTATACATACAAGAGCCTTAGGATATAATATTTGTATTGAAGATCTAATATGTGTAGAGAATAGTCTAAGAAGGTCTTATTTTTGTGGAAAAGCTTCAGAAGGTCATATACGTATAGCAAAGCTTTAGAAGGTCCCCTATTTATAAAAGAAGCTTTTCTACGCAAAGAATACCTTTTGAATATCTTCAATGCAGAATATCTTCCATACAGAATGAAGATCTTCTATAAAGCTCTTTTATAAATATACATTCTAAAATATTTATAAAAGAGCTTTATAGAAGATCTTCATTCTGTATGGAAGATATTCTGCATAGAAGATATTCAAAATGTATTCTTTGCGTAGAAAAGCTTCCGAAGGCCTTCTGTATACAAAACAGCTTTTGTGTGTTTTACAATGACTTCGATGTACAGAAGAGCTTTAACAGGGTTTATATGAATAGAAGAATTTCGTTAGATCTTTCTTTTTAAGTTCTTATGTCCATATGTCTAGTTTCAAAAAGTCTTATACTGGATATACTATCTACAAAAAAGATTTGTGCAATTTAATGAAGAGTTTTACATGAAATTCTATACAGAGAACATATTCTAAAGTTCTTCTATTAAAGAGAGCTTATATATATATATATATATATATATATATCAGACTGCATACAAAAATAACTTTTGAGCATTTTCTATTGACAGAAAGCTTTCTAGGCTCTTTTAAGGTTATACAATCTTAAGGAGTTGTTCTTTTGAGCACCTCTTGAAACCTTTCTAAAAGTTTAAGAATTTTTAAAGCTTTAACCGATATTCTATATAGAGATCTATGAAGCTTTTTTTATTAATAAAACTCACTTTTAAGTTATTTGTACTCTCGAAGACTCTCTGAAACTCTAAAGATATAATGTCTAAAGATATAATGGCTCTTCATTTGCCAAGGGAAGCTATTCTATGGATCTAAAGCAATCCAAAGCTTTTCGACATATAAAATATTTATTGAAGTTTTAAAACTACTAAAAGATCGTTAGAATATTTTACAATTACATAAAAGTTATAGAAAAGCTTTGGAGGGTGTCCTGTAAATAATAAATAATGTTCCTGAATGTCTTACATCTCTAAAAGACCCTTTGAGCTTCCTCTATACTTGTGACATCATATAGAGCATTTCCATTTATATAGGCTCAACTATGGTATGCGATCTTCTCAAGACGAGCTTCAGACATGCAGTAGCTTACAAAAATACATGCAGTAGCATACGAAAATCGTCCATCTATAAAAACCAAAATCTCTTACTTGAAAAGCTAGTAAAAGACTTGCATCCATACCTATCAAAAATATATATCTGCAATCTACACAAGGCCTATAGGATATTTTTCGTTGTTGTTGTTGTGTGACATTTAAATTAACCATTTTTTTATTTTTCGCTATTTTTCACTTTACAGTTCATTCCGTTTATGGGCAGAAGTATTTCATGTATCGGCCAGTGGTGCTGGAACAGTTAAATGGCAGCAAGTATCTGAAGATTTGGTTCCTGTTAATATTTCATGCATACAAGATACGCCCGAATGTGTTTTTCACATTACGGCCTACAACAGTCAAGTGGATAAGATATTGGATGTGAGACTCGTGCAACCAGGTGGGTAACACTCTAAAATATGAAAATGTTTGAATATAATCTAAAAACTAAAATTATTTGTAGGTACACGTATTGGTCAGGCATCAGAATGTTTTGTTTATTGGAAAGATCCAATGACCAATGATACGTGGGGTCTGAATTTCACCTCACCCATTGATGCTAAACAATTTCGCGAATGCTGTGTAAGTATTAACCTAAACGGTAAAGCAAAGCCAACTTGGAATCAAACAGACAACAATAAAGCATATCAACAAGAACATCATGAACATCTACAACAACAATGTTGTACAACAAATAATAAATACTATTTCTACAACAACTACTACCAACACCTTTTTTTCTATTGCCTATCACCATCTTTACAATAACAATTTCAAATCCTATTTTTTTAACAACAACAACTACAACACCTCCCAATCAAAACCACAATAATAAATAAATTTTAAATAAACAAATATTTAAACTCCAACGAAAAGCCACCAACCAACCAACAAAAACAAAAAATACCCCACTCAACGCAATGGAATGCCTGTCATATCACCTGCCACCTGTCCAGTCTCCAGGATATTACAGCCCGAGTGTCGCCCAACTGTCTTATCTTTCTCTAAATCCCCATTCTACGCTTTCTTTCCTGCTTCTACTTCCTCCATGTTTGCTTTGCTTTAACCGAGTATTGGCAAGGTTCTGAGTGCAAAATTTAGTCACCTTTAAAAAAATCTAAATTTTAAAAAAATCGAAACAAAATCCTGAAAAAACATTCGATCATGAAAAATCAAATTTGCTAATATATCGGTTAAGATTTTCAATCATGCACACATAGATTTCTAATTCTTTCACCATAAATATCACATTTCAATTTTTATTTTAATGCACTATTTAAAAAAAAATAATTTTAAATTTAATTTATTTTTTTAATTAATTTTTATATATTTTTTAAATTTAGAAAGGTAGAAAAGCTCGAAAAGAATTTTATATATATCAATCCTTCCCAATTGAAGTTTCTACCGCTTATGTCATTCTATTGATAGAAGACCATATCAATAGATACACACAGAAGGTCTATAAAAGCTTTAGAAGTTCTGGAAGTACTGAATGTATATAAGAGCTTTCGATGTTCTAAAGCTTCTTCAAAACTTCGGAGGGTATGTTTTTCTATAAAATTACTTCAGAATTAAGGATTGATTTTCTTCTGACTGAATATCTCCTGTATAGGTAGATGAGTATCGAATGCTCGCCTATACGAAAAAGGTCTTATGTGGATAGAAGACCTTGATAGAATATTTTAAATACAAAGAAGGTTTTCTAAAGCTTTTCCTGTACACGGAAAAACTTCTGAAGCTCTTCTGTTGAGAAAATCACCTAAGCTTATATATTGATAAAAATACATTCTAAAGCTTTTCGCAATATGTAACGTCTTCTAAAGCTTTTAGATATATAGAAGGCCTTCGGAAGATCTAATATATACATAAAAGATCTCTAAAGTTCTTCCATACATAGAAGGTTTTTTGAACCTGATTGAAGACTTGCTGGAGATGGAAGACCTTTTAATGTTATTTTATAGTAGACACCTTCTGAAGATTTTGGATAGAAGCGTATTGAATTTCTTTTGAAGGTCTTCTGATGATCTTCAATATTTTTCTAAAGCTCTTCAGTATACTGAGGACGACATTTTATAGCTATATGAATAGAAGGCATTCTGAAACTCTTCTCCACATAGATGACCTTTTGGTGCTATTACATTAATGGAACATTTTTTGAAGCTCTTCTATATATTGTAGAACTCCTAAAGCTTTTCTAGAGGTAGACAAACTTTGGATATAAGAATATTGAAGTTCTAAACGATTTGCAGTTGATAGAAGACCTTGTAAAGCATTTTATTGATAGATGACCTTCTAGAACATAATATCTATGGAAGCTATTCTATGGATATATACCCTTCTGAAGCTCGGATATGAATTATTTTCCAACTCTTCTAGAGGTAAATAAACTTCTGAAGCTTTTATATATTTTGAACCAATTTTAGCTTTTCTATTGTGGAAGACCTTTTCAAAATCTTCAATATATATTCTCCTGAGGCTCATCTACATATAGGGGTCCTCCTCAAGCTCTTCTATAAATTGAGGGCCTTATAAAATTCGTGTATACACCTTTAGAAGCTATTGTTTAGACAAAAGTTTCTCAAAAGCTTTTTTTGTACATTGAAAGTAGTTTAAAACTTTTATAAATATAACGGAACTTCGAAAGTTCTCACGTAAATAAAATATTTCAAAAGTTCTAAAAGATCACCTGGAGCTTTTTTATAATCAGAAACGCCTTCAAAGCTCTTCTAAACATCTGTAAATAGAAAACCGTTTAAGGCTCTTCTAGACTTAAAACACTTACTAAAGTTTTTCCGTATACAGAAAACTCGAAGTTTAATGGATAGGTGATCTCCTGAAGCTTTAATATAAATAGATATCGCTTAAAGCTCTTTAAGACGAAAAATATATTTGAAAGCTCTTCTATATAGGAGGCGTTACAAAACGTTTCTTTATGCTCTGTTATATGTACTATAGCTTCTAAAATTCTTTGTGTGTGGAAGACCTAAAAGCTCAAAGCTCTTCTACACATATGTAAATAGAAAACCGTTTAAAGCTCTTCTAGACTTAAAACACTTATTAAAGTTGTTTCGTATACCGAAAATTCGATGTTTTATGGATAGGTGATCTCCTGAAGCTTTAATATAAATAGATAGCTCTTTAAGACGAAAATATATTTCAAAGCTCTTCTATATAGAAGGCGTTACAAAACGTTTCCATTATGCTCTGTTATATGGACAATAGCTTCTAAAACTCTTTGTGTGTGGAAGACCTAAATCGGTGAAAATAGAAAAACTTTTAAATATTTTTATTTTTTTTTTAATGAACTTTAACATTTTTTTAAATTATTTTGCACAAATTTCAAAATCTATATGCACAAGCATTTCAACTAAATCCCAAAATTTTAAAATAACCCTCACAGTTATTCTCGGTTTGTGGAAGCGCCAATTCAAACCAAACTAACCCTATCTTGAGTTGAGGTTTTCAGCAAATCAGCTAACTGTGTAACACATCGATATGATTTGAGTAAGGATTTTGTGGTTAAATTCCTTTTCCACAAATAAAAACAAAAAATATGCACCACAAAAAATTCAATTGGTAAATGGTTAAAAAAAAAATCCAAAATCAAAAATACTACCAAAAACCCAAACGAAGTAAATCCAAGAATATTAAAATGAAAACTAAATAAAAATGAAATGAAACGAAAACGGTATACAGTATACAAAAACGCACACACCGAACCTTGTTAATCCCATACAACTAACCTAATGATAGTGCGACGTTTTACAGTCGCCTTCTTTCAAATTTTCACGAAAGGCCTCCTCGAGTTATTCGCTGAAATTGGATCCGCCGGGCAAGAGTAAAGTCAAAGCCAAACGAAAGCCATTGAGTACACCGGCCTCGCCATCTCGTGTCCGTAGTGAGCCGCAATGTACATGCATGACAGCCGAACAGTATGCACGCTTGCGAAATGATCCGAGGGTTAGGGGTAAGTGGCTGCACGCACACATACTATGCCATAACTAAACCTAACGTTCATTTTTATCTATACTTACCACCCATCCAGGTTCATCTACATTGCCACGTAATGTCGGCTCCAAGGTAGCCTCCGAAGCTGATGGCCAAACACATCAAAGGGTGACAAATGCCACAAGTAGCACTTCACTGTATGACAATGTTGCCAGTGGTGGTACTGGCGGTCAAACACTTAGCACAGGTGGTGGTAAGTTGACAAATTGAATAAACAACAATAACAACAAACATTTTGATTTTATTAATTTTTTTTCCAGATACCTTGGGTCGTCAAATTAAGCCTCAAGATCCAGCCACCACAGCCAATGGTAGCGTTTGTGCTGGTACAGCCGCACCCGGAGGTGCCGGTGCTAGTACCGGTGATATTTGTAGTCAAAATCATGTGGGCTCACAGGCCGGCCCCGAAGATGGCATGACCAGTCAAAGTGATGTTGATATGCCGAAGAGTGAAGGTACCCAGGCCGGTGGGCCAATGCATCAATCTGTGGGCACATCCACAAAATCAACTGGTACCAGGACCAAAGAATATAATGAAGATATGGTGAGTAATCCCATTGAGGAATGTAGGAATTTTTTGGTGTATTTGAAATGTGCCTACATTGCGTGTCCTGTATCTGTAGATCTAGTAAGAAGTAGGGTAACTCTCAAATGCAACCTGCAGACAAATGGTCTCTTCCAAGGCATTTAGAAAAAGAGGAACAACTCAGATCCTCTGTAGTAAAAAAATTTCCACATAAATTTCGATGCTTTCATAGATGGAAAATTGGAAAAGCTTCTATATGTATTTAATAGAAAAAGCCCCTATCATAGTCCTCCATAGGTCTCATATGTATGTTCGACTAAATGTAGCCCTTCAATGAATAGAACACCTGATAAAGGTCTCCTGTGAATATACGATTCTTATAAAAAGAAGATTGTGTCCTATAGGTCTTTCATAGCCATACGACTTAATATAGAACACCACAAGTAAGTGTTTTATAGATTGAAGACATCGTCCAGGGTATTCTATATATATTTTCTATGAATAAAATACCTTCTATAGGTATTTTTGGGATAAAATACCTCCTATAGGGTTTCTATGGATGGAAGTCCCCTATTTATACGTAGGCACCTCATATTGGTCTGCATGTCCATGGAAAATATTCTATAAAAATCTACGATTTTTGCTCCGATTATTCACGATTATTATAGCTCGAAATGATTTGAAACCAAGCCAAGCCCATACCTAGCAACAAATCATAAAAAAACTAGTTTTTTTTCAAGGATAGCTCTTAAGCATATATTCTTTAAAAACAGTCCTTTCTTGAATAGTTCTTCATTAAAAATCGATAATAGACTTTGGGAAATAAAATCTGGGATATACCATAAAAAAATTCATTAAAATCTCATAGTTAAAGTTCGGATATCACTTAAAAAATATTCTTGAAAAAAATCCAAACTTATAGCTCGGTAAGGTCTACAAATATTCTTTAAAAAAAATCCAAGCTTATAGTTCGGTAAGGCCTTGAAAAATATTGTTTAATAAAAAATCCAAGCTTATAGCTCGGTAAGGCCTTGAAAAATATTTAAAAAAAAAATCTACCCTTAAAGCTCGGTAAGGCCTTGAAAAATATTTAAAAAAATCTACCCTTAAAGCTCGGTAAGGCCTTGTAAAAAATATTCTTAAAAAAATTCACACTTAAAGCTCGGTAAGGCCTTGAAAAATATTCTTAAAAAATCCACGCTTAAAGTTCGGTAAGGCCTTGAAAAATATTATTTACAAATTCACGCTTAAAATTCGGTAAGACCTAGAAAACATTCTTTAAAAATCCACCCGTAAAGCTCGACAAGGCATTGAAAAATATTCTCTAAAAAAACGCACTTAAAGCTCGACAAGGCATTGAAAAATATTCTCTAAAAAACCACGCTTAAAGCTCGGAAAGGAATTGAAAAATATTCTCTAAAAAACCACGCTTAAAGCTCGGAAAGGAATTGAAAAATATTCTCTAAAAAAACCACGCTTAAAGCTCGACAAGGCATTAAAAAATATTCTCTAAAAAACCACGCTTAAAGCTCGGCAAGGAATTGAAAAATATTCTTTAAAAAAATCACGCTTAAAGCTCGACAAGGCATTGAAAAATATTCTTTAAAAAATCACGCTTAAAGCTCGACAAGGCATTGAAAAATGTTCTTCAAAAAATCCACGCTTAAAGTTCGACAAAACATTGAAAAATATTCTTTAAAAAATCCACGCTTAAAGTTCGGTAATTCCTTGAGAAAAGTTCTTTGTAAAAACACGCTTAAAGCTCGGCAATGCATTAAAAAATATTCCTTAAAAAATCCTCGATTAAAGCTCGCCAAATCATTGAAAAATATTCCTTAAAAAATCCACGCCAAATCATTAAAAAAAAATATTTAAAAATCCACGATTAAAGCTCGGCAAGGCATTGAAAAATATTCTTTGAAAAATCGACGTTTAAATTTAGGCTAGTCATTAAAAAAAATTCTTTAAAAATCCACGCTTAAAGTTCGGTAAGCCCTTGAGAAAAATCCTTTACAAAACGCGTGGGATTAAAGCTCGGAAAGGCATTAACCCTTTCAGTGTTTTTGTCGAATATATTCGACATATAAAATTCGACATTTACCGTTACAATTGATGTTTTTGTTTTTGCTGAAAGATAGACAAAACTGTCCGAGGGTTAAAATAAAAATTGCTTTTTTCTAAACACCGTGGCTTCATATGATTTTAAATACAAAATTTTAGATTTATATTCCGACAAAAAATTTTTTGACACTGAAAGGGTTAAAATAATACTTTACAAAAATCCATGCTAAATGTTTGATAAGGCCTTGAAAAATATTCTTAAAGCTTATTCTTAAAATATTTTTTGAAATTTGGAGAACTTCTGAAAAATATTATTTAAAAAATCCACGCTCGGATTGCCCCCAGACAAATTTTTTAAGGTATCCATGGTTATATCTCAGATTTCTTTAAAATTTCACATAAAAATCTCGGTAGTTATGTAAAAACTATTCCTAAATAATGCCTTGCACTACTAGCCGTTTAATAATCCATAAAAATCTTCGCTTAGAGCACAGACAGGTCTAGATAAAAATTGTGCCATTCCTTGAAAAAAATAAAAAAAATGGCTCCTGTAGACCACAGACCAATAATACTTTGCAAACCTCTTCAATATCAATGCAACATCCAAAAGTTCTTCTATAGACATAAGGTATTCTAAATTAAAAAATACTTCCTGAAAGCCCCGATAGGCCGTGATGTAATATTGCACACCATTTAATTCTCCATTGGTCATTTAACTGTGATTGGTCAGTAAACTCTTAATTGTTGGGCTATAATTGTAACGGTATTTTGCATGCAACAGATTGCTTATGTGGCAAATGTTATCTTGACATTTTCATGTGTATGCAACAGGGGACATTCTTCATACACGACAATTCCTCCAGAATAGAAGCAAAAAAAAAACTCAGTCATAACTATTGCGACACTAATATCACTATGTATGTATGTATTTCTTTTTTGGTATAATTCCTCAGGCACGCGATCCACATGGGCACGATATGCATCAGCACCAGCACCCGCACCAACATCAGCACCAACACCAGCACAACATAATTAACAACAACACCAGACGCAAAACTAAAAGCACCGAGGACATGAATGTCGATACCAGCACTTTGAAACGTATGCTGAAGCCCATGACCAGCACCGAGAGCCCGGTGACCTCGCCAGAGATGGGCCGACGTCGCTACAATTACTACAATGCCAATGCAACGAACACATTTGGACCGCAACACATGCATCAACATGCTGCCGCCATGGCTGCGGGCATGGGTGGACCACCACCCGGTGGTGCTGGTGGCGGTGGCATGGCTGGCATGCATCACCTTATGAACAACAACAACACGTTGGGATTAGTTGGCGGTCGCAATGCGAATCAATCGTCACGATTTTCGGGATCAAGGTAAGGGAATGAAATTCGCTAAGAGAACGATTGGAAAAATAAAAAAATAAAATAAAACGTAAACGCCGTTTGTTTGCATTAGACCGCGTGACACTAGGGGCCAGTAACTATTTACAAGTCAAGCAGTCAACAATACGAGCACAACGGCGTCGGCTAGCATTCGTAAAACGTGTTACTATATTTTTAATTTGTTCTCTTCTTTTCGTTTGATTTGTTGCAATTCGATTGCAACGTGCCACAGATCTTCACATGAAATCGGTCGTGGCTATACACCACGTAATCTGTACTTGGAATTGGAACGGGAACGTAGCTGTATTGAGGGTTCACCGCCGTCGGATAACGTTATGTTCGACAATCAATGCTATGCGACCACACCGAGCTCAAGTAATGGCAACTCCGATCAGGATCAGTCATCGTATGGACAACGTGGTCCAATGGGTGGGCCTGGTGGTGGTCAGCGACATCCACATCGTCATCAGGGTCCTAATGTCACACCGACACCGGGTAGTCCCACATCACGTCTCTTGTTGGAATATGAAATGCATTTGCGCAACACCTTGGCCAAGGGTATGGATGCCGAGTCATATAGCTTGCATACATTTGAGGCATTGCTGTCACAGAGTATGGAGAATTTGGGTAAGTAGAAGGAGGAGTGTTTCGTTGATTTGTATCATATAGAGATTGTATTTTTTTAAACTTTGGTTTAGATATAGAAAGGAATTTGTTATGGTTTACGTTTTGTTTTGTAATCGGGAATTTTGAATTGTTTGATATTACTTATGGAGCGTTCTGCGCAATTAATTTTGTTCTAGTCTAGTTTTGTGTGTTGTTTAACTAACTTTTTTCTAAAAAAACAAATATTTTCTACAACGTTTTTATTATTAGCTAGTTTTTAATTATTTCAAATTTGTGGTAACACAGCCATTGAAGTTGTTCTGTAACTATCCCATTGAGACCGCATAATGTACACACCCATATCTTCCAATTTGGCTAATAAAAATGTCGTTATCATCTCACTGTCCTCAATTCGTAAAGAATACGACCGCTTCAACAGTTTTTTTTTTTGGCTATGAAATTCGTGGTTCAAATACCTCTTTCTAAATGTGAGAGAAGTTATTGGCCAGGACGGTACGGTAGATGACCGAAACATGGGAGCATTTGTTTCGAAGTGATTCTACAATGATCAAGTTTGGAATGTTTTTCAAGGCCTATTATCAGGAAGCGTATACTTTTCTTGATTAATATTTTTTCAAGGCCTATAATCAAGAGGCGTATATTAAAACAAAATCCAGGCCCATCATCAGGAGACGGGGATTTTTTAAATTTTTCCAGGCCAATAATAAATTTAACAAATAAAAATCAATAAGGAAAGTTCAAATTCGGACGGCACCGAATATATAATACCCTTCACCACTACAATATCCTGTAGATAGAACGGTCATAGAATCTTTAAAGGATCATTGAGATGTAGTCGGGCGAAATTAAATGTGCTATCTAGATAGATATTTGAACCAACTGAAAAATCCCATACACATACCATTCTGAAATCAATGTGCAGAATTTTGCTCCAATCGGACAAATATAGGGAGTTTGTTCCATCATTCATATAAAATCGGACGAAACTATATATGGGAGCTATATCTAAATCTGAACCAATTTTAACCAATCTTCGCAGACATCAGTCTGAACCTAATTCAGAACTCTGTGCAAAATTTTGAGTAACCGTTAAAATTTAATACCCTCTGCCAAATTTCGTGTAACCACCATTTACATAAAATCGAACCAAAATATGTATAAGACCTATATCAAAATCTGAACCGATTTCAACAAATCTTATCACGCAAAATTTTTTCTCAATAGCATTCGCTATACAAAATGTTGTCCCAATCGGACAAATATTGGGAGTTTGGTGTATCATTCACAAAAAATCGGACGAAACTATATATAGGAGTTATATCTAAATCTGAACCAATTTTAACCAATCTTCAGACATCAGTCTGAACCTAATTCAGAACTCTGTGCAAAATTTTGAGTAACCGTTAAAATTTAATACCCTCTGCCAAATTTCGTGTAACCACCATTTACATAAAATCGAACCAAAATATGTATAAGACCTATATCAAAATTTTTTCTCAATAGCATTCGCTATACAAAATGTTGTCCCAATCGGACAAATATTGGGAGTTTGGTGTATCATTCACAAAAAATCGGACGAAACTATATATAGGAGTTATATCTAAATTTGAACCGAAATTTGAACAGACATCAGTCTGAACCTAACTCAGAACTCTGTGCAAAATTTTGTGCCAATTGGACATATATTGGGAGTTTGGTGCATCATTCACATAAAATCGGACGACTCTATATATGGGAGCTATATCAAAATCTGAACCAATTCCAACAAGTACAAAATTTTGTCCCAATCGGACAAATATTTGGAGTTTGGTGCATCGTTCACATAAAATCGGACGAAACGAAAATACATGGACGGACAGACGAACATGCGTAAATCGACTCAGAAAGTGATTCCATGCATATTCTCAAAAGGAACCCTGGGTCTATCTCAATTCCTTTTGCCTGTTACAAGCACATGCACAAGGACATAATACCCTGTACCAGAGTGTGGTAAAGGGTATAAAAACCCAACCCATAATCAGGAAACGGGGATTTTGTTAAGTCATTTTATTAAGTCGTGTATTTTTTAGGATTTTTCAAGGCCTTTAATCAGGAGGCGTGGATTGTTTTAAAGACTATTCTTTAATGGACGTAATCGGGAGTCGTGGATTGTTTTAAATACTATTTTTTCAAGGCCCATAATCAGTAGGCGTGAATTGTTTAAAGAATATTTTTTAAAGGCCTCCAAATTGAGAGGCTTGGGTTTTTTAAAGAATATTTTTTTAAAGGCCTCCAAATTGGGAGGCTTGGATTTTTTAAATAATATTTTTTGCAAGGCCCCCAAATTGAGAGGCTTGGATTTTTTATAGAATATTTTTGCAAGGCCCTAAATTGAGAGGCTTGGATTTTTTAAATAATATTTTTTCAAGGTCCATAAATAGTAGGCGTGGATTTTTTAAAGAATATTTTTTTCAAGACCCCCAAATTGAGAGGCTTGGATTTTTTAAAGAATATTTTTTTCAAAGCCCATAATCACGAGGTGTGGATTTTTTTAAAAAACATTTTTCAAGGACCCCAAATTGAGATGCTTGGATTTTTTAAAGAATATTTTGTTCAAGGCCCCCAAATTGAGATGCTTGGATTTTTTGAAGAATATTTTGTTCAAGGCCCCCAAATTGAGATGCTTGGATTTTTTAAAGAATATTTTGTTCAAGGCCCCCAAATCGAGAGGCTTGCAATTTTTCAAAGCAACTAAATCTCGGGGCTTTGATTTTTGCAAAGAAGTCTAGATAAAGACAAGTTAATATTTTTAAAGAATATTCTTTTCAAGACCCCCAAATTGAAAGGCTTGGATTTTTTAAAGAATATTTTTTCAAAGCCCATGATCAGGAGGTGTGGGTTTTAAAAAAATATATATATTTTTCAAAGCCCCCTAAATTGGAATGCTTGGATTTATTAAAGCATATTTTTTTCAAGGCCCCCAAATCGAGAGGCTTGCAATTTTTCAAAGCACCTAAATCTCGAGGCTTTGATTTTTTTTTAAAGATTTTTAAGGCCCCCAAATCGAGAGGCTTGGGTTTTTAAATAATATTTTCCAAGGCTCCCAAATCTGGAGGCTTGATTTTTGTAAGGATATTTTTTCAAGGCCCCCCCAATCTAGAGGCTAGCATTTTTTAAAGGAGGCTAACATTTTAAAGAAAATCCAAGGCTCAATCTGGGGACCTTGATTGAGCCTTGGATTTTTTTAAGAAATTGTTTTCAAGGCCCCCAAACGAGGATATGTGGATTTTTAAGGAAATTTTTTTAAGGCTCGAAGTTCTTACGTTACCAGCGATACGACCCCAATGAGAAGTTCGTTTCGTTGGCGCCTGACTTCGTGGTCAACAAGGCATTTACAGACAATTACAATACATTTTCCACTGCTATGTGTCGTCACTTTGACCACGAAGTCAGGCGCCAACGAAACGAACTTCTCATTGGGGTCGTATCGCTGGTAACGTAAGAACTTCGAATTGTCACAAGAGACATTTGGGTTTGAAAGGTTTTTTGTAATGAAGCTATTAATAGCTTCTGGGGAGAATATCCCAACAAATTACTAACGGAACTGATGAGGATCAGTGGCGAGATCCGAAACTATAGTCTTCCCTGCCTTACCCCTCGGCGGACAATGCCATACATTCCCCACTAATAAATAGTTTTTTTTTATAAAAACAACAAACTGGGATTAAGCCTGACTATTTTGCAAAAACATTATTTTAAATATTAAAAACTTTTTTCCAAGAGTTTTTTTTTTGTAGCCAATTTTATTTAATTTCGAATTTGTATGCTTTGTGTGGTAGCTTTTTCTTGTTTTTTGTTTATTTTCTTTCATTGCTGTTCTAGATTTTTATATAAAATAAATTTGTTAAGAAAAAAATTAAACCATAATCATTAACGTCATACATTGTATTTTCATGTCACACGTCCACCGACAACTACAAATATCACTAAATGACATTCATTTATGAAAACATCGAAATCGTCATTTCAAATACCACACACACAAAAACATACAACCGATCCACTACTGCTTTCATCGCCAATCAAACTCATCATCAATATCAGAATTTGCCGAGAGTTTGCCCGGATCCATGCAACGTAGTCCATTTCCCATGCGCAGGCGTAAGTATAACAATACCTATTTATATTTTACAAAACCAACAACAACAACAACAAAAATATTGAAATCACAAGCAATGCCAATACGACGATACGAAATCTAGTCAGTTCATTTTGCCATTTTGTTGAGTTCATCCGGAATCAAGTTGTGTTTGCACGCGACTTGTTTGAGAGAAAATTTTTGATTTAGTGTTTGTCATAGTTTATTTTGTTTTATTTTTCTGGATTGAATTAAAAATAGTAAACAAAAATGCTGCACTGATTTCGTTTTTCTTATCTTGAATGCACTAAACATAGATACACAAAATTTAAAAACAAAAATCTAACCTAACCTCAAAATAGTTCTGAGAGATTCAATTCAATTGACAATTCCCACATACAACACCGATTTTCTGTTTTGTTCTCCTTTCCTTATTTTCTTTGGTTTTGTTCTTTTGCAAAATGAAACTGTCTCTCTAAAAACCCAACCATAAACTGCTTCCAATGTCTTTCGAATTCTGTAGCCACAAGTGCTAAATCTTCTACTCTACCTTTGCCTCCACATCGTCCTATGTCCACAGTGCGCGAAAAAGAGCGTGATCGTGAACGTGATGGCTACTACAGTGATCGCAATGAATTGGTGCGTGAACGTGAGCGTGAGAGAGAACGTGAAAGGGGCTATTTATCGGATCACAATACAAGGTAAGTACAGAAGAGAGGAAGCAAGAGAGAGCGGGAGAGAGAGAAACGATATCTATTTATTTGTTTCTTTCGTTGCAGCTTTTCCAATTCCCGTTGTGCTTCTTGTATTGGTGAATCGGCACGTGCTCAGTGGTTCCGCCACTCTGATGGCTGGCGTTCGGGCAGCTCAACCATAGGCTCCGGTTCGGGCCAGGGCCTGATGTCACAACAAACCAATAGTTCCGGAACTAAACGTTCTCCCTGGGATTCATTGCCCTCTTTGCGTCAGGATAGCAGTTTAAATGATTCGGGTTATAAGAGTGCCCGTGCTGATTCTTTGGAACAACGGTGAGTTTGAAAAAAACAAAATTTCCAACATTGAATTAAGGGTTAGGATAGTATTAAGATATATGACAAGTTATTGTTACAAAGGATTATTGTAGGGGTGTTTTTTAACATTTTTCCAATTATTATTAAAGGGCTGGATTTTTTTACACCCTTCACCACACTGTGGTACAGGGTATTATGTCTTTGTGCATATGTTTGTAAGAGGCAAAAGGAAACGAGATAGACACATGGTTCCTTTTGAGAATATGCATAGAATCACTTTCTAAGTCGATTTATGCATGTTCGTCCGTCTGTCTATCCATGTTAAATTATAAACAAAGTACAGGTCGCATTTGTGATCCGACTTGGATGAAATTGGGCACAGTTCACTTATTTGGCCCAAGGACGATCCCTATTGAAATTGGAAAATCGGTTCAGATTTAGATATAGCTCCATCTATAATTTATAGCTTCCATATATATTTTCGTCCGATTTAAGGTAAATTGGGCACCAAAGTCCCTATATATCTTTCGATATGCATGAAATTTAGCACAGAGTTATGCATTGAGTCCAGAATGATGTTTGCTAAGTTTCGTGAAAATCGGTTGAGATTTAGATATAGCTCCCTTATATAGTTTCGTCCGATTTAAGGTAAATGGTGCACCAAAGTCCCTATATATCTTTCGATTTGCACGAAATTTAGCATAACGTACTGAACTGAGCCTAGAGTAATGTATGCCAAGTTTCGTGAAAATCGGTCCAGATTTAGCTATAGCTCCCATATATAGTTTCGTCCGATTTAAGGTAAATGGTGCGCCAAAGTCCCTAAATATCTTTCGATTTGCACGAAATTTGGCATAACGTACTGAACTGAGCCTAGAGTAATGTCTGCCAAGTTTCGTGAAAATCGGTTCAGATTCAGATATAGCTCCTATATATATTTTAGTCCGATTTAAGGTAAATGGTGCGCCAAAGTCCCTATATATCTTTCGATTTGCACGAAATTTGGCATAGCGTACTGTAGTGTGGCTGTAATAATGTGTGCGAAGTTTTATGAGAATTGGTTCAGATTTAGATATAGCTCCCATATATAGTTTCGTCCGATTATAAGTAAATGGTGCACCAAAGTCCCAGAAAATCATTCGATTTGCACGAATTTTGGTATAGCGTACTAATTTAAGTCTAGAATGACGTGTGCTTAGTTTCGTGAAGATCGATTCAGATTTAGATATAGCTCCCATATATAGTTTCGCCCGATTTTATGTAAGTGGTGCACTAAAGTCCCTATATATCTTTCGATTTGCACGAAATTTGGCATAACGTACTGAACTGATCCTAGAGTAATGTGTGCCAAGTTTCGTGAAAATCGGTTCAGATTTAGATATAGCTCCCATATATAGTTTCGCCCGATTTTAAGTAAATGGTGTACCAAAGTTCCTATATATCTTTCGATTTGCACGAATTTTGGCATAGCGTACTGAATTATGTCTACAATGACGTGTGCTAAGTTTCGTGAAAATCGGTTCAGATTTAGATATAGCTCCCATATATAGTTTCGCCCGATTTTAGTTAAATGGTGCACCAAACTCTCTAAAAATCATTCGATTTGCACGAATTTTGGCATAGCGTACTAAATTAAGTCTAGAATAATGTGTGCAAAGTTTCGTGAAGATCTTTTCAGATTTATATATAGCTCCCATGTATAGTTTCGCCCGATTTAAGGTAAATGGTGCACCAAAGTCCCAGAAAATCATTCGATTTGCACGAATTTTGGCATAGCGTATTGATTTAAGTCTAGAATGACGTGTGCTTAGTTTCGTGAAGATCGATTCAGATTTAGATATAGCCCCATATATAGTTTCGCCCGATTCTATGTAAGTGGTGCACTAAAGTCCCTATATATCTTTCGATTTGCACGAAATTTGGCATAGCGTACTGTAGTGTGGTTGTAATAATGTGTGCGAAGTTTCAGATTTAGATATAGCTCCCATATATAGTTTAGATATAGCTCCCATATAGTCGGCCCAGTCCGACTTTACTACTTCCCTTACTGCTTTGTCTTAGTTACGTTAATTACGTTAATTTTCAAGTTTTTCAATTTTAATTACAACATTAAATTTTATTCTTTCCCCAAAGCAGAGCCGAGTTTATACGTCAAGATAGCTTGAGATCTGACTATTTGAGTGATCGTGATTCACGTTATGGCATTGTACAGCAAGCATCGATCGAGAGCACCGATTCAAGAATGTGCTATTTAACATCGTCTGAGGTAAGTGAAAAAATAGATATTTATTGTAAAATTGAAACCATCTGATACATCCGAATGCAAACTCAAATATGAATAGAAAGGAAAATAAGACTTAAAAATGGAAAACATATTTAGGCACTACATCAAAAATTCGAAATGGAATTAATATTCATATTTTTTATGATTATTTTATAAAGAAAAATTTGGTTTTAAATAAACTGTATAAGCAGCTGAAAAACTCTTAACAGATTACAAAAGGTAAGTTTAATGTATTCGCTTATTAAAAAATATTTATAACCAAACCTTAACCCTTAAAAATTAAAAAAAAAATCGCCTCCGAAGATTTTAAATTACTGGGTGTTTAATAAAAAAAAATAATTGGTTTAGTGTGAAAATATTACTAAGTATTACTTTCAATTTCTTAAATATTTCGAAAATGTCCTATTATTGCTGTACAAACAAAAAAAAAAAAATAATAATTAAGAAAAGTCTTTCTAAATGTCTTTATACGAAAATTTTCTAAACTATGTTGTTTTCTGATAATCTTGCGAAATGTTACTCACCACTCTCCCCCTCTCTCCTTCTCTCACTTTCTCTTGGGAAAATAAATAGTGAAATCCTTGTAAGATTCATTACAGTTTAAGGCAGTGTTGAACAGAATTAAATTAAGAGTAAGTGCGTGAGAGCGTAACAAAAAGGGATGACGCAAAGAGAGACAAAGAGAAAACGTGTTAAGCAATCACCGTTATCGTACTATTTTGTGCATTAGTGGTTTAAGGCAATAACAGATTTCTTAACTGCAAATCGGAAAATATGCAAATTAATTACTGCCTTCCGCATATCCATACTACGAGGGCTACTGCATATATTTCTGACCTAATAATGAAAATATTAATTTTTATCAACAAATATTGTTTTATTGATGAAACACTTGTCCCACGCCAATTGAGGCACTTTCAAAACGTCTTTGACGATTCAACAGCATCTGCTCGCAATGAACTTGTTGAATAGATGTTTTTTCTTTAAGTGAGAAAATAGAAAGAAGTCGATGTGTGCCGTACAGTGCAAGACTCGTAGATTCCACATTTGGTCCAGTTAAAAGGCGCTGGATGAAGTCGAAGTATGAGAGAACGGATTGCCATGTTGCAGAATTATTCGATTCCTTTGTTGGCCTACCAAGTTGATCAGTCACCCAATCACCAATTCTGCCGAAAAGATATGCGACCATTTACTACGAAGTGTTTCGTCTAGGAAAAATTTTCTATAGATTTGGATTTCGGTCTCATACGCAATATATTATAAACGTCTTGTGGAGCACCGCCATCCGAACTTTTTAAAATATCTTTGCACCAATTGATACAAGCCATTTTTTTGTGTCATTAACAAACCTTTAATATTGAGAGCTCCGTCGTACATTGTGATTTCAATGGACAGATGGGGTTCTTCTTCCGCAGGTCTTCTATATTCCGAAGTTCTCCTTCCGGTTGTCTATTGTCAGCAAACTTGTTGCCGAGTTTCTATATAGAGGTGAAATCTCGTCTAGGTCCCTTCTCAAGGTATTCTAAAGATATATGGGGTCATTTAGTTGTCCTGAAGTTACAGGATATTAACTTGTTATTCAATGGACATCGTCTAGTTGTTCAACAGATATAAAACCTTGTAATGGTCTTTTATAGGTACACAGAAGATAGGTTTCTTCACCCACAGGCCTTCTATACTCCAGTTGCCGATATTCTATATCACGAAGACATCGATGTGGTGTCTTATAGAGATGAAATCTCATCTAGGTCCCTTCTCAAGGTATCGTAAAGGTATATGGTGCCATTTAGCTGTCCTGAAGTCACAAGATATTAACATGTTCTTCAATGGGCATCGTCTAGTTGGTCAACAGATATAAAACCTCGGGTTGGTCTTCTATAGGTACACAGAAGATAGGTTTCTTCACCAGCAGGTCTTCTATACTCTGAAGATCTCCTTCCGGGTGTCTATTGTCAGCAGACCAATAGCCGATTTTCTATATCACGAAGATATCGTTGCGGTGTCTTATAGAGATGAAATCTCGTATAGATCCCTTCTCAAAGTATTCCAAAGATATATGGTGTCATGTAGCTGTTCTGAAGTCACATGATATTAAGATGTTCCTCAATGAACATCGTCTAGTTGTTCAACAGAAATAAAACATTCCATAGCTATTCTGTAGAGAGACTTAGACTTCGTGTTGGTCTGCTATAGATACAATATCTCCTGTGAGTAATTTATGGACGTATGTTTCCAGGTGTAAGGACGCCTTCTATTGTAGAAATCATGTCTTATAACTCTCGTCGAAGACCTTTCTATATATAGAAGACATCCTGAATGTATTATTCGAAAAGATAATATCCCAAATGTCTTTTATATACAGAACATCGCCCTATATTGAAGACCTCATGTAGCTCTTCTGTTGATAGCAGACTTTTTGTATGTCTCCTGTAACATTTCTTTCGGTAGAAGACAGATATTAAATACTTAAGGTATTGTAGATACAGAGGCCTTCTCTATGGATTGAAGACCTCCTGTAGCTCTTATGTTGATGGAAGTCTTCATGTATATCTTCTGTAGGTAAAATACCTCCCGTAGCTCTTTAATAGGTAGAAGGCATGATGCAGCTCTTCTGGAGATACAAAAAACTCCTGTGTGTCACCTATAAGCAGAAAACATCATGTAGGAAACATATTTTATGTAGCTCTCCTACAAATCGATGACGTATATATAGAACATATTATGACCTATATATAGAACATATATATAGAACATATCATTTAGTTCTTATACCAAAATATGGAATCCTGAAGGTCTTTTATGTACAGACCACTTTTTAATGGATAAAATAACTCCTGTCCTGTTGATAGAAGTTTTCCTGTATGAATTTTGTAGATAAAAGATCTCCTGTAGCTCTTTTATATGGAGAAGACCTGACGCCCTTTCGTAGGACGATAACATTCTGAAGATCTTCCTTAGACAAGCAGAAGAAAGACCGTCTGTACTCTTTAATATGTAGAAGATCTCCTGTAAATTTTCCAAAGATGGCATATTTTTTATGAAGACCTCCTATTGCTGACTTCAATATCATGCCTGTAGCTCTTTTCTAGATTTAAGGTTTACTGTAGTTCTCCTCTAGAAAAAAATCCTCTGGAAATTCTTCTATTTTTTCTATAGCCAGACAACTTCTAAAATCTCTTATTTAAATAGAACAGCATATATATTGCTTTTCCATAGAGAAATTTTATGTTCTTTCTTGACCCGTTGAACCACTGTTCGTTCAGCTTGGAAAATCTCTACACAATTTCGTTTCAGACGAAACAAATTTTCCATGCGATTTCATTAAATTGCATCGAGTTAACCCATTTTCATCATTTCATGTGATTGTTTGTTGTTGCTGTTGTTGATATTATTGTTTTTGTTCTTGTTGAATTGTTCTGGCTTAATTCGTAAAAAATCTGCCGCCGATGATAGCAACAGAGAAGTTGAGCAGTCACTGCTTGGCTGAAAGCATTAACTGAAAAAACACAATGTTCGATATCACAAAAAGAACAAATCCTCAGTCGATGCCTTATTTATTTGGGTGGTATGTCGTCTTTCAGTTTTTTTCCTTTTTTTCGCTAGATTTTAAATCAAATCCAATTAATCGGTTTTAACCCTTCTCGTAAGGTGATACGATTACAATAAAATAATAAAAGAAAAAAAAAACAGATATAGAGAGACACGTGAATTTTTTTAGCTGATAATTATACAAACGAAAGTAGACACAGAAAAACGGTTTGGATTGGATGTGGGTATGTGTGTCGAAGTGACATAAGTGCAAGCCAAGCAGTAGCAGCAATAAGTAAACGGTATGAGCTATGCACTTTGACGACACAAAGGCCACAATATATTGGAATCCATCATACAAATGAGTATCAATGTTTGTTGTCTCTATGTTTGTGGTTGACGTGTACGTGTGTGAGGGTGTGCGTGTGTGTCCTGGTATTACTGCTGCATTTCGTATACAATGCAAATTTTATTAAAATGCATTGTATTCCACTGTTACAGTGACATACAAACCAAATGAAACTATCACCGCCACCACCACCATCATCATCGCCATCAGTACAAATAAGATATCGAATGCTGACACACTCACTGAAACACGTACATACATTCATTCTAGGAGAGAAATGGCAACATATTTGCATAGCAATTTTTTTGCTTTGCTTTGTTGTAGTTCGAAAAAGAGCGAGAGGGAGAGTTGGGTAGAGAGACATATATTTTGTATGAGTGAGAGTGTCAGAAAAATAACAATACATCTCCAGGTATTTCCAGTCCATGGCTGCTGGCCATAAAGCTTTAGAAAGGCATTAGAGCTTTTTGAGAGAGTTAACACAATAGGGTTGCCATGTACAAAAACGACCAAATAATAAATGGAAAATAATAATAGATAATTTTTTAAAAAAATTTTCACGAAGAAAAGAAAGAATATCAGGGATGGAAAGGAAGTTAAAATTAACCTTTTTACAAAAAATATGGATACTTTATTGATTCATTTTAATAATGCCACTTTTTGGTATGAGTAACATTGTTTGCAATATCCCCGGGAAATCTTAAAACATTTTCGTGAGAATTCCAAAAGTTCTGAAGTGCAAACTTATATTTTTATTCTGATATATAAAATCATATAAAAACCTGACTATATTTCTTGATTACCAATCACATGGAATGGTACTTTCAAAGCGTTATTCATAGAGAAAACGTTGGGTGCCACTTTACCAATTGCAGTTTACTTTAGAATTTGTCAATTGGAGCATGTTAAGGTGGACTTTGATTCTGTTCTTCAGCTACTAAAATTTTAAAGTTAAAGTTGCAACGTTGTTTGGTTGTGTTCAAAGTAAACGACAAGTGTGTAGGATAAGTGAGTAGGTTTAGAAAAATCATAGAAACGGAATGATATAATTGAAAACAGCTGAACATGAAAATTAAGTAAATTAAATTAAAACAGACCTGGCTCTGTTTAAAGTATAACTGGACACAATGGAACATTTAAATCTATTAAA